ACTCATCATGTGCGTGGGAACATGCAGCGTAACAAGGAGCACATTACTTGCTCCAGCCCAGGCTAGATCAAGGTAGGTGCGGTGGTGTCTCTTCAAGCATGATGTGTGTGCGCCAGGAATTTCCAAATATTAGTAATGCAAGCAAATGGGCCCGCCGTCAGAGACGACCAAAGGGGTTACGTATCCTGATGGGGCCTCGAATACGGCCGACATGCGCCAGCGCGCCGGACGAACGATATATCAGAGTTTCATAAGCTCTGGAGGGCGGCACCGAAGCGTCCCAGGTCAATTTTGTCAAGTAAAAACGATAAAACGATAAATTCAATAGCAGCAACAGAGACGTAGACTAACACAATAGACAAAGAATCGACAAGAGGCAGAAAGAGCCACAGCAAATGTTCAGGGATACCTGCACCGGCAGCACAGCCAGACAGCGCAATATATGCTACCTGTACAGCAACTTGGCTTGGCGGCCCAAGGAGGAAGGCGAAGGAGCTAAAACGGGAGGGAGCCTACCCGTGAACAAAAGGCCAAGACCTCACCGTTCGACGTCCTCACTGCACCTTCCTGCAGCTCTGCAGTTGCGACCTCTCCCTTTGCGGACACGAAAAGCAGGAGCGAACCGCGGCAACCTGGCTCCCTGGTCCTCGCTAGGGCTGTTCCGGTTGCGTAGAGTCGTTAGATGTCGGAATCCACCTGCTGTGCGTCGTATATGGCGAGGCCGTCGTATCAGCATGAGACAGAGCTCGCTCGAGAACACCATTGAATTTATTTGGCACTGCACTTGCCTCTTGCCTCCCTCCACCTGCAAAGTCACGTTCATAGGCCGAAGCGGTCCTGCATGTTAAAAACCCAGCATATGTTCTGCCCTCCTCCCCTCTGTCCTTTGCGTCCAATCTCACGAATACCCCGTCGGTTCCCACACTCGTCCGCCTTTGTCTTTTCGCATCTTCTCTGCCGTTCTCGCTTTGTGTCTCTTCTCGTTCAACCGTTTAGTCTGGTCTTCTTGCCACCCTCGCCTTCTCCGCTGATATGCCGAGACGAAGCCTCAATGTCACGGAGAACCTGGCTGGATTGGCGTAGCCGTTAAGGGGCCTTGTTTTTGCGGGGAACCGCCAGCGGCAATCAAGAGGAGAAAAGCTAACGGTAGGAAGGCGGTTGAAGATGCGGGCAGCTGCTATCCGGGCTGTCGAGGAGACAGGATTGATGCTCTCACTGATTCAAGACACGTCCTGTTCTCTTGAATTGGCGTCCCATGCCATTCTGGGTCTGGTTCTTCTTCTTGTTCTGTTTCCCGTTTCTGCCTCATTTCGGCTACTTCCACTTCCTTGATTTTTATTTTTCTCGATATGACAATTGTCTCCGTTACCCCTTTTTGTTTTCGCTTTGTATTCCCAACAACACCTGATAATGCTACTTTGTACACGTTGTTCATGCAGCCTCTGGGCTGCCCTTTGCCCTCTTTTGTGCTGAGGCTTGCTCACTTTGCTTGTGCCCGTCTTGTCCCCCCCTCCCCTGCTCCGTTCCTACGTCGAGCTATCAACTGCCCGAAGTGGAAGGGTCTCTTCTCTCCAGCTTGCTCGTCTCATGCTGTCGTATGCTCCGCTTTGTACGTGCATCGGATGCTCTCTATGAGGCATTTTACAGATCTGCCCTTTTTCTACAACCCATCTCAACATGTTTCGTACAACAATAACCCTACATGCATTCACTACTGTAACCAAAGCCCGCTGTGGACTAATATGCAGGGTTGCAGAGTCCCACGCGTCCGTCCTCTCTGTGAGCATGCGAGCGAACGTGCGACTCTCCTCCGTACTACATACGACAGGACACTCTCACTATTTATTAAAATACATTTATTTTATTGCCTTTTCATATGTGCTTTTTTTTACCCGTTCTCCACCCCCTACCCAGACAAACAAGTCGAACATACGTCGCCATTGTGCCATTGTGTCGGACCACTTACACAGTTCGACACATTCCCTGCCGTCTACACACCCTCGGATTGCAGAATCGCAGGACACCGATAGACGCTGATTGGTGCTGGATGGCAACTCCAATGCGTCTGCTGCTCCATCATATGCTGGGGAAAGGACACAGGTTCACTAATGTATTCAGATGTCGAATTCTGAAGTGTGTGATATATTCATTGGAATATGATGTCTCCTCTGGTAAGTACTGTTGTCGCTTCGAATGTTGTGCCAGCATTCAATTGTCGACAGTGGTCGTCTCCGTTGTCGAGTGGTCCTGTTTCTCTTCTATTTTCTTTCTTCTCTCACATACACAGTGAGAGGATTCAAAAAACCCCGAAATAAGCGCAGTAGTGTGTTTTGACATTGTGCGTACATATTTCTAGATGCATCTCGGGCCGCCGTCTCGTTGTGTAACACTTGATTTAAAACAAGAATTCAGCTGAATTTACATGCAAATCTGCATCCTACAGCCTCAAGTGGCATCTGTCCCGCCTCGTCTCGCACATACTTGCTCCCCTCGTGCTCGATTGTTCGCAGACGAGTGGCTCGTTACCATTCTCGCCCGAACTTTATGCTTGACAGTTTGCATTTGCCCTCCTCGCCCATTTGCATCCGTGTTGGAAGGTCTGCTTGTGAGATAACAAGGGAAAATTCGGAGGGAGATCCTGCCACGACATCTGGCGGTGTACATGAATGAGAAAGACAGCACAGACCTACCAAAGAATTGAGAACTGATAGACGTGCAGTAGGAATAACAGCTCATCTGCAGGTCAAAATAAAAACGAGGTAGCTGTACCAGAATCCCCGACGACCAAGCTCTCTAGCTCCCGTACTTCAAACAAGCTCCTTCTTTGGTTTTGAAATGATGTATGTATAACGCATCAATTAAGGATTCGACTCATTTAGACCAAGGAACAAGGCCGGGCCGCACACGGCTGCAGTTAGGATCAACCGTGTCGATCATTTACTTCTTTTGCAATATTTTCTTTTTATTTCTTTCGTTTTTCTTCTTTTGTCCTTCTCTTTTTCTTTTGTTATCGTATTCTGTTTCTTTTTTACTTCTTTGTACCCATGTCACCGCCCTTTGTTTCGGGCTGCAAAGTCAAAGACAACGTCAATCGTATCGTCCCTTTCTATTTTGAGCATATGACGGCCAAAAAATACCCTGCTAGCGCACCAGTCGGTCAGATATGACGACAGTGCTTTGCGCGTTCCAACCCAACACGTTTCGTCCTTTCCCTGATTCAAATCTTTTCTTGCCAAAATCGACAATCGGCATGCAAATCTGAACCAGATTTTGTCATTTTGCTGTCACTTTTTCGTATAAAAGAAAAGCTTACAAAACAAAATGCTGAGATGCCCTATCATTGTCTATCCGCCACGCTCAGTTCAAAAGGTCCAGGCAAAACAAGATCAGACGACCAATTGAATGTCCGCAGTGGTTAAGAAAGAATGTTTGGTCGCCGGTAGTCGTGTTTCAGGGCAGTTAATGTCTTGTTGTCTTGTTGCATATGTACTAATTATGACATCAGCGCCTGCCAGTCAAGCTCTTGGCCCTGCTGTCCAAGCCGATCACCCGAATGTCTGCATGCCAGCATGCCAGCATGCCAGCTTGTTCGTTGGTAACGCAGTAAAAACAAGGCCGAGAACGGAATCATTAAAATATATAAAAAAAAGCCAAAAGGCCGGTTAATAAAAGACACAACAGAGGCGTGAGAGAGAGCGAGAGAGAATTAACCAAGACAGGCTCTTGGGGAAAAGGCGGGACAACAGATTGACGAAAAAAGAGTCACAACAGCCGCTCACTTACACCGGCACTTGGCATCGGTTTTGTGTACGGAGGACGACGTGCCATATTGTAGCATCCCGAACCTGCTTTTGGCCTTTGTTAGTCATTATTCGCTGTTGGCCGTATCAGTGGACCACCAAGAGAGATTCTTGGCTGTAACTACTATGATTTATTCCGTCTGCTTTTTGTTGGTGTTCTCCGGTTACAGTTCCACCGCTGCTTGTTGTGTCCAAACACAGGTTCGGCAAGAAGCGGCCAAATCCAAGACGAGTTTCGTTCTTCATATTGCTTTTGTATTTCTCCTTCGTTTGGCTAGAACACCGTGAAGAGATTGCCTCTGTTTAGTGATTCACAAACGAACGTCTATGGGCCTCAGACGCTGTTTTGCCTTCGCCCAAGCTTGGTTTAAACAGGTCTTTTCAGTGTTATACAAATCTCAGCATATCATATTCATCATCAATCTTCTGTAACCGGCACATGAATACAGTTGGTTCAACTCCATTGAGTCACCAAAACCGATCGGGCGCCATTTTCGGAACCACAGGAGTCTTGGAGGAGCCTTGGACGAGGCTTTCGCGACTTGGCGCCTTGGGCCGTGAAGTAGGATTGCATTTGCCCTCTGTCAGCGGCAACGTCCATTGCTGTGTTAATCGTGAAAAATCGGTATATATCGATGTTGTAGGTTGGATGGTGGGCTAAGCCCGAGCCAGACGCAACAGTGGCTTGGCCTTGGTGCTCTTCTGCGTATTGTTGCTTTCAAACTCTGAGATTCGGTTTTGGTGATGAAGCCTGTCAAACCTCATATGCAGCCAAGAGTCTAGTCTGAATTTTATTTGTGTCCCCGTTTCGTGGTGTCTGGACGTGTGCGCGAGAGTGTGGCGGCAATGTGTAGGTAGTGTGAGCCCAGCCCTGCGAGAAGGTGCACGACGCAAGACGTAAGAACGAGTTCAATAAGTGTTCAAGCGGCTACTTTTCGTGACTTGTACAAATCTTCGAAGGCCTCGCCAAAGATATGTCAGGGAAATGCTAAAGTGCCCGGACAAAAGGTGTGAAGAGGTATTCCCACGGTTTCCTTTCCTTTCCAAAACCTATACATCCGTGCTCCGAAGGCACCTAAGTGCGCATCGAAACCAGTGATCCACTTCCGGGGAGGGCCTGCCTCCGGATATCCTTAGCTCAATAGAAAACAATTTTAAAGATGGGAAACGATGAATATCGTTACAACAAGCACGCCCCTATTATTGTTGTTTCTCCGTCATGAGGCGTGCCACGATGTCGGCCATTCCGCTGCCACCGCCGCCTCTGGTTATGCTCTCGAGAACTTTGGTGGGGTAGACTTTGGACTTGCTACCCTGGCTTTGGATACGGGCCACCTCTGACTGGAAAGCACGATCGTAGACGTCGAATTCGGCCGTCGTCGGAGACTCGGATACGACGTCCTCGGGCTCGTCGTGCTGCCTGTCGGGCCCAAACTCGTCACCACCACCCGTTCCGATGCCAAGAAGCAGCGTTGGCTGGTCGACACCAATGCCTGTACCATTCTCTCTACCGTCAGTGTCGTCTCTAGCACTTGTTGAACCGCCCCTTTGTCCCTCGACAGCCGTAGTACCAAGGAGCCGACTGGTCTGGAGACTTGCTTTCCGAATGTTGTTTCTTCGTTCTTCTACGAGGCGGGCCACCTCGTCTTCGGTCATCCGTTCTTGGTCGGATGAGACGCGGATCGACGAAACATGTGAACCGAGTTCCGCAACATCGCTGGCGAGTGGGGGCACGGCCAAGTTAGGGTCCCGGTTCCTCGAACGAAGCAGGCCTTTGAATTTGCGGATGGCTTTCAGCTATTTTGCTGCGAGTTAGAAACGATACGGTCAAAACTTGGTTATCATAAGATATACGTACGACACATAGTAGATTCCCCATATTCTGCGTAAACGCGTGGTTGAGCTCCAGAGCATTAGGTGGCTCAATCGGGTTGGCACAGTTCTCCTCGGTGCTCAGGAGAGGGTCATCACCGTTCAGGGTAACCCAAGGGTGTTCCTTTTTCGCGAGCATGTTAGGTTATTCGGGTATAATTATATCTGAAGGGGGAAATGGAAAGCAAACGTACTCTTAGCTGAGCCATAGTTATCCTTTTGGAAGGGTCCTTCTCGAGGATCTTGCCCATGAGGTCAACAAACTGTTCGTCTTCATCTTCCGGCAATTTCACTTCAGCTGTGTTGATGGCCTCGTAAATATCGACCATGGTTTCCTGTTCAAACGGTATCTTGCCGTAGCGGAGGCAGTACAGAGTGACGCCCATTGACCAGATGTCGCAAGGTGGGCCTTCCACGCCGCCGTGATTGGAGACGCAAAGCTCGGGTGGGAAGAAGGCAGGGGATCCGGCTGTTTTGCTTGTGCGCATGCCGTCGGCCTTTTCAAACATCTCCGAGACACCAAAATCGCCAATCTTCAGCACATCATCGTCGGTGATGAGTAGGTTGTCTGGCTTGATGTCTCTGTGAATGATATTTTGTGCATGCACTAGCGTCACGCCGAGCACGGCGGGCATTGGTTAGCATTGCTGAATGACAAGTTCTTTGCTTGCCAAAAAAAAAACATACAGTATTCAATGCCCAAGATTAAATCACGGAACCAGCACCGGCAAGCTTCCGCATCGTACGGTTTGGCTGTTTTGCCAAGGCCAACGTCCATGATGACGCCCTTTTTGCACATCTCCAGTACCATATAGAGAGAGTCTTGCTCGGGGTCGTCGAGCACTTCGATCAGCTCGACCAGATTTGGGTGGTTTAACTTTTTCATGATGGCGATCTCCTCACGGATGAGATAGAGAGCATCTTTGGCCTCTGCCTGTGCCTCACCCTCGAGCCTTGATGATGGGCCGCGAGGACCAACCGGGCCGCCTAAGCCAGGAAACCGCCCAGCACGGAATGGGCCTTGCTTCATGAGGTTGGAGCGGGCCCGTTTCCGAAGCCGTGCTTTTGAAAACTCCTTGACCGCCTTAGTCCTGTTAACATGGATGAAAATGCTCTCTCTCTCGTTTTCGCCTTACAACTTACAAATTCCTTGCCATATTGGTCGGTTGCGACGTGCACAGAGCCATAGGAGCCACGTCCAATCATAAAGTTGATAGTGTACTGGTTGATTTTGTGATGGGAGGAGCCATCTTCGTCGTCATCGGCAAACTCGGAGACGGCATTGAGCGTTTCCTATCTTGTGAGCAGGGGTATTGACCCCATGACGGGAGTGTTCTGCGTGGGGGGACAGGAAATCTCACCTTAACTTCTCGATGTTGAGAAGGCGTTCGACGGTGCTGTCTCAAAGGGCTTGGGTATGACTGCAAGGTGGGAGCCGATCTAGAAGGATACCCAGAGACGGCCAAATGCAGGCCAGCGACCACGTCAGTCACGGTTAATGCATGCAGCGAGGAGGAGCCACAGACCAGCAGTCGGTTCCAGGGGCAACAAATAATGAAATAAAGCGGTAAAGACATGGATGAAGAGAAGAACAAAGGTGGAAACCGGCTACTCCTCCTTGTTAAGACAGGGACGTCGAGAGGCACCTTGTTGCACTGCCACGCGGCCCCGCAGAAAGCGGGAAAGCCCGTTGGCCGTGCCCTCGCTCTGCGTCTGTTTTGGACCTTACGAAGCTTGGTTTATCTCCTATTTTCAGATCCGCTGGCTGCGGGAACGGTCGTTCCATTGAACGGCATACCAAGCAGTAAAAGATGTACTTACAGGAAACCAGGGCTGGTGGGAAGCTGGCCAAAGGGGAAGGCTGGTGATGACGGCTTGGAGGTGACGGGGCTCGATGTAGACGCGGGGTCGTTGCTGTGGGCAGAGGACGGTGCGTCGCCAGTAGATGCCCGTGACCCACTCGTCGTGATGTCGCCGTGGGCGGTCGACGCGTTGGCCGGAGGCGTGGTCGGCGGTTGCTGCATTGCTGTCTCTGTGTCTCTTCTTATGTTATGTTGCGACAATCCGGTGCGATAGTCGAACAACGGAGAGAAAAGGGGTAGGCGGGGGCCACAAAGCTGAAGGCAAGAACGGGCAAAAGTGGTGGGGTGCGGAAGGAGCTGTCAGGCACGATTAAAAATAAAATAAAATAAGGAGTAGACCGGACGAGGCAGGGGCGCCGGAGGGGAGGAGAGGGAAAGCCAAATATGCGCCCAGCCTTACCAGGGCATGCGCGCGCGAGTGAGAGCGGCTGGGTTGGACCTTTGGTTTTCGATCTGTCGGGACATTTGGTGTGGTCCAACCTGCCGTTTGCGCCTTCCCTCGAGGACACTCAGGCAGCCCTGTAAAACAAGCGACGGCAAGGCTGCACTGCTGTGAATGGTGGCCGTAGAATGCCTTTAAAGACACGAGTGCTAGACAATAAAAGTCGGGTATACGATGGAGAGTCACGAAGAATTAGTTGAATTTACGAATAAACATCGCCCTTTTGTTCGTTAACGACGTCTTTGGTGGACTGTCGCCGAGTCTGTTGTTTAAGGCTGTTTTTTCTTTGGGGAAAGAGCACGTTTCGGTGCTAAATTAGAGTTGACGAGTCAAGCGACAGTGGGGCTTCGAGAACTAGGACTGGTTAAGCGGCGAACTTGCAGCTCATTCTATACAATTTTTCAAGAGCCATAGGACGGCCAATCATCGGAATTTTTCATGGAATAGTCTTGGGGATATTAAAAAGTGACCTTTAATTAACGTTCAAAGGATCAAATTCATTTCATTTTGGATTGATATCTGGCCTGCCCATCCTGAAGGTGCAGATTTCTGATGTCAATATACGGATACAAGAATATTATGTATGTAAGAGGGTTTTGACCTAGCGTGCTTGGTCGTTATACCAAGTTGGGAACACATCCACATCCATCGTAGGTCCGTGTCGGCTCATCCTCACCATAACCCTGACGAATTGCCAACCTCACGGCAACCAACGGCGAACACATAACGGCCTGGGAGCTGTTCATACGCGACAGACAGGTCTCGCGTTAGAACATCATCACCCACTGTCGACGGCGTTGCTCTTCTCTGACCGCCCCCCCTTTTTGTCCTTGGAGAAACCAAACAAAACCCACGGCACTCGCTCTATAGGGGGCAGGCGGGGGGAGCGGCCGTCGCCATGGCGGTCTACTCGTTTTTTATTTTTGATCGGCACAGTATGTCTCTGTTACGTAGCCCTTTGCCCCCAACTCGAAATTCGTGTGTCCCCGCGTCCCACTAACTGGAAGCGCCAGCCGAATGCATCTACACCAAGCACTGGCTGGATGCGCTCCTGCCTCTCGGCGTCAACGGCCGTCCACAGCAGGTGTCCCCGGCCACGTCCAAGGATGATGCCAAGCTGATTTTCGGCACAGTGTTCTCGCTGCGCAACATGGTGCGCAAGCTGGGTGGGGACGACGATGCCTTTATCAGTTTCAGGACGGGGCAGTACAAGCTGCACTACTACGAGACGCCGGCGAATCTGCGGTTTGTGATGCTGACAGACTGCGGCGTGCTCAGCATGCGCAACGTGCTTCACCAGATCTACATCAACCTCTGGGTGGAGTACGTGGTGAAGAACCCGCTGGCGCCGGTCGAGCATGCTGGCGGAGAAGGAGTCAAGAACGAGCTGTTTGAGTTGGGGCTGGACCAGTTTGTGCGGGGGCTATTGTAGACAGGGGCCGGCGGGTAGGAGAACCGGAAGAATGCGAGCGTGTGCAAAGGGCAAGGTGCAATGCAACTAACTTGGTATCTATGGCTGGGTTTTTATTGTTCATTATGCAAGTTCAAAAATTATAGGAAGGACAAGGACCATTTCATTTGAACATGCATCCATCCATCCACATGTGGCTTCCTTTGTCCCTTTTTTATGTGTTTTCAACTTACGTCTTCCCGCGGTACGCCTGCCTGGATGTAAAAAGAAAATGTCGAAACGATATGCAAGAAAGTGTACCAAGTATGAATGCTGTCCAGATGCGACGCTCGCTCGGTTCTCACGACTGGTCCAAGGCACGCTCCCATGCACTCTCCAGTGTGCTCTGCGAAGGGTCCACCATAACGAGCGACTCATCCACTTGCGCCTGGCCGGTCAGGACCGACTTCTCCTCAGACGTGCCCGAAGCCACAGCCTCGGCGGCTTGCTGCCGCACCTCTTCGGCCGCGGCCAACAGCCCTTCCTCGTGGATCTCGCTCTCCCAGTTGCTCGAGTAGACAACGGCGGCAAAGGCCTCGAGGTCACGCACTGCCTCCATCTCGTGCAGGTACTCGTTGGGCATGCCGCTGCCAATGACGTGGGCCTGGCGCGTCAGCACGGACAAGATCTTGGGCAACTGCACGACCTTTTCATTGCGCAGGCGGTTGAGCTCGATACTGCCCTCGCCGACGGACGGGGGCAAGTCGAAAGCGACTGGGGCAACCTTGCGCTCGAGGAGCGTGGCGAAGCCGGCATCCAAGATCTCGGTCAAGACATGCGAGAACGTCGGTGACTCGACGACATCGGCGGTCTCATCAAGCATGCGGCGCAGGGCGGCCACCTGTGAGGGGGAATCGGGGGATGGGATAGTCTGGGATCTGGTCGGCGCCGCGGCGTCCGATGTGGACGGGTCCGCCTCCGCAGCCGCCTCAGCCTCGGACCGGTCAATATGCTCAAAGGTGGCGGCGGCGCTGTCGGCCAGGATGCCCGACTCGCGCAGTACGTAGTCTTCGAGGCCGGGTGGCGGCAGAACCAGGGAGAGCCAGCGCGAGGGAATGGCGCTCTCAAGCGGGCCCCGCTCAACGGCCTGGCGCACCGCGCGCGTGTAATCGGCAAAGTTGTCGAGAGACACCAAGTCTCGCGGGCTCAGGTGACCAAAGCTGGCGCGGACGGCAGTCTCGACGCGCTGGGCCAGGTCCGCCCAGCTGCGGTTGAGCAGCCACCAGCTGAAGGCGAGGTACTTGCGGTTAACCTCAAAGTCGGTGCTGTTGCCAAGTGCATGCTGCTGTTGCAGGAGGTTGTCGTCGTCATTGTTTTCAAGGCTGATGGTGGCCTGGGCGCTGCCTGTGGCGAGGGAAACGACGCTGGAAAGGTAACTGCGGCGGCCGAGCAGGTTGAGTTGGATGCGGGTCAGCATGACAAGGAGGCTGGTTGTGTAGAGGAGGGTGTATGCACGGGTGATGGCTGCGTAGGGCGAGGAGTTAGCTGGTAGTCACGGCCAGGGGATTGTGGAAGAAGAAACACCAAAACTCAAAACTCACAGCTAATCGTCAGCTCGTCCCAGAGCTGGCGCTTGGTCTTGCGCTGCTTGGCCGGCAACTCTTGAGCTGCTTCTCCAGCTGATGGAGCTGTTGTTGTCGTCGTCGTCGTCGGGTTGCTAGTCGGCGCCTGGGTTGGCAGCGCAACTTGGCTCGCGTGTATGCCGCTCTCGCTCTGCATGCTGATCATGCTGCGGCTCTCGTCCTCAGTCACCAGCGTATCGGCGATGCTGGGCGGACTGCGTGCCGGAGCGCCTGCAGCTGCGGCCCCTGTCTTCATGTGCTGGATCTGGTATGTGATGGCCTCGGTGTTCATGGACTCGAGGATGTTTGTGGTGACGGTTGGGAGGAGGGCGAGGACGGTGAATGTGCAGTCCTCTTGGTTCTGCTCGAAACGGCGCCGAAGACTAGTGAAGAGAAAAGCAGTTGTCAGTACCAGTGCCCCAAGGCCCCTCTCAATGCATTACAAAACGGATTACTCGAGACGGAACACACTTCTCCTTGGCAATCCGGTCGCTACTCATTCGCTCACGCGCGTCGTTGAGCTTCGACAGCACATACTGCGTGGCCACGTAACCGGCGCCTACGACGCCGACGCCGATGGCGATGGGCGTGCGATGGCGGCGGAACCATTGCCGCGTGGCTGCAAACATATTGGGTGTGATGGGCGCGCAGTCGATGCGCAGGTCGAGGATGGAGCGCGAGAAAGGTGACTGTCGGGATGGCGGGTGAGAAGTGAGCTGTTCAGTGGCAGCAGGAAGAAGAAAGTGCTGCTGGTCGCAATGATCTCACAGCAGGTGAGATGCAAGCTCAGTAGTACCCGACGTGCTACTCCACATTATTCACAGTGGACGCGGCAGGTTCTATGTAGGTGCACGTTGCAAAATGCCGAATCGTGTGCTCGTGCCTTCCCCAGTCGCGCCCAGGTTTCCAGCCACCGCAATAATTACAGTGCTGCGGAGAAAGACGTGTGCCCTATAGATTAGTTTGCGCCGCGTGTGAGCTTCAGCTTTGCCTCGGCACGCACGCGGCATCTAGTCCCAATGTCAGCAGGTGCCAGCAGGTGCCATCATAACCTGCTTCCCCCAAAATACACGCGCTAAAAGTCTAGCGTGGACAGCAGAGAAGGAGTTGGCAGTCACAGAAAGTCGAATCCGGCTTGACCCCATACCGGGCGCAGGCAGTCGCAGCTTCCCCATTTCGTCCTGTGCTGGTTTGCACCTGCCGCCGCTTGGTGGCGGCTTTGCTCTTTGTCTGTTCAATACGGCAAGCAGTGCGGTCATATGGCGCGCGTAGTGGCCATTCCCCTCTCCAATGCTCCTTCCTACTTAGCGAGCTAGACTCCCGTCCAGCGTTTACGTATCCAACATGCCAGTCAATAGTCAGCTATCGCGCGGGCTGCTCCTTCCCCCCCAAACCGACCGGCCTTACCTGGCCCCATTCTCCAGATTTGCCGCTGGAAACGGAAGGCGGTCGGCTCAGCCAGTATCAGCGTTCAACCCCTCACTCCTGCCGCAAAATCGATTACCACATCAATTCCCCGTGCGGTGATTTCCTGCGATATTCAGTCCAGAGTTCCTTCCCAGCTCTTCGACCAAACTCTGCCAATTCTGTTTTATTTCCAACACCAATTACATGTGACTTTCGCCGGCAGCCGACAGATGAGAGCGCATCCCCAATTGTCCCCGTCCTTAGTCCTCCTCCCGCCATGGAGCATCGCACGATTGACTTCAACGTTGAGGCCTTTGTCGATCCGTCGTCTGTCCAAGATGTTGTCCGGGGTAGGACCCCGTCTGCTATGCTGTTTATTTGTTGGTCCTTTCTTTGTATCTCGAGATCCCACCTCTCTAACGCCTCCAGGCATCCTCCATACCATCTTCTTCCACCGCTTCTTCCCCTCCGTCATGCCCCGCACCCGCAACGTCCTCGACCTGACGCTGCCCTACATTGACGACAACGAACTCGAGACCCTGATCGACCAGCGGACGCAGATGCTCGTGCGCCAGCTCGAGGAGGAGAAGTCGGCCAGCATCAACGACGGCAGCCACGGCGGCGGCAACAGCCGGGGCGGCCGCGGCCAGATCTCGGTGCAGTTCTTCGAGAAGCGCCGCCGCAAGGCGTGGTATGTTATGCGCGGCGAGGAGGAGGTGTGCTGGGAAAGCTGGACAGTCAAAGTCACCGTGGCCGAGCCGCGCACAGAAAGTGGTGAGTCAAGTCGCGTCCGTTTGCCTTTTTTGCCTCTTTGAATCACGGCACAATTGTTCGTCGCATCTAACAAGCCCAGAACGGGCCAAGGTCCGCCAGGCCATGGAGTCCACGCTTCTAGCCGCCGTCATGAAAATCGTCACCTCCGTCAACGCCAACAAGGACCACATCCCACCCATCACCACCTCCGAGTCGAACCCATTTCCGTACCAGATCAATGTCAACCAGAAAGAGGCCGGCTGGGCAGCACGGATGGGCATATACTAATAGATGCCTTCAGTTTGGGCTGTCTGTGCTTGGACTCTTTCACCTTACTTCTCCTCTATTCTGCTCTTGCGGCGAGCTCGCAGGTATATAAGAGCACGTCTCGCCCTCCGTGCCCTCTCATCGTTTTTTCCTACGGCGCTGTGCACTTCCCATATTATAGAGATACCTTGTTTTCAGGCGTTTGCGATCCGGGTGGGCGTCGGCGTTTCTTCATTGGCATCTTTGGTTCTTTGGTCTCATGGTACTTTTTTATCACCATACGGCACTTCTTTATGACAAGCAGACTGTCCAGGCAGGTTGGGCCTGCAGTCGCAATCTTTATTCTCTCGGCCATATTGTCTCCGTGTTTATGTATGTCCCCTATGTATTGACTGATGCTCACCTCTTGCCGGGGAGCAAAGGCGACCATGTGCATGACACATTGAGCAACACTCTGTAAAGAGAATCAATCCGATACTCACTCTACACAGATCAATACGAATATCACAACGTAACAAGAAACCGTCTGCACCATGCAAGTATGTCATTCAGTGTGATAACAAAATTAAAAAACTCATTGATAATCAAACCATAAAACCGCTGGCGCCAGCGTTGGTTGTGCTCGTTCATATATCTGCATCGGTTTGACGCCCGTGGTCCCCAAGATGTGTTCTTCCGAATCTTGTAATCCCTGCCCTGGTTGTCCTAGTTCAACTCCTAAAATAGCAAAGAGGCCCAACGTCAATAAAAGTGCAAAAAATAAAACGGCAAGCCATTTCCCGGGTCATCCCCAAAAGAACGTCGAGGGACTCTCCCAACACCGTTGTCCATAACAAAGAGATAAACAAAAGCAGGCAAATAACAAGAGTAAGGGAATATAAGCCAGGCTTCCAGGTAAACGCTCATAAGGCAAAGGAAACTCGCAAGTGCAAAAATGAAACAACGCGAGGCGCTTCATCCTCCTAGAATAAGAAAAACAAAAAATGCGTAAAATACTGCAGATAAGACAAGCGGAAAGGGGACAACCATAGCAAATGAACGTAGGGTAGAAAGTATGAGTAAAACGCAGACCAAACACCCCTGAAGCCGTAACGTGATTGCTGCTAACCGCTATATTCTTCGGAGACATCATAAATCATTGCCAAGAGATAAAGGAAAGGGTAGGAAAAATCATAGGTGTAAGGGAACGTGAAAATAGTATCGATAGCAAAGAAAACGTGAGTGGAAACGTCATTACTTCTTAAAATGTTGAAGTAAAGCTGCGTCCGAAGGTGGGCTTCTGTGCACCCTTGCCACTGCGGCTGGGTGCCTGCTGCTGTTGTTGATGCTGAGGGTACGGCATCAGGCGAGGCTGTAGCGGAGCAGAGACGAGTTGCTGTGGTTGGATGTTGGCGCCGATTTTCTCAAAGCCTTGCAGGATGTCCAAACCAGCGAAGTCATCCGACTCTTGGAGGAACTCTGGGGCACAGATGTCGTCCAGAGCAGGCCATGAGTTCTCGTCGCCAAGGCCATTGTCAGCCGCCAGGGAGTGGGCAGCAGTGCCGGACCCATTCCGTGGTAACTTGCTTGGTGATTGCAATTCAAAGAACTTGCTGGGAGACGAGCCCAGTCCATCAAAGAACTTGCTGGGTGTGTCAACCGACAGGCCACCAGGCGACTGGTTTGGCACCTTGAGGAAAGGTGCCGATGTAATGTTGCGTCTTGCAGCGGCGTTGGTAACATCAGACAGTGCACTGACAGAATAGGACCGGTCCAAACGCGACCGCTTGCTGGACGGTGCCTTGGCCTTGATTGGTGACCCGTTGTGCACAGAAGGGAAGAGGTGAGGAAGAGCATCGTCCTGGAAAATTTCAAAGGTATTGCCCAGGTTGTTTGTGTCCAAGGTGAATTCTGACTCGTCTGTAAAGTTGTACAGCGACTCATCGAAACCCGATGGGCTGCCCCATACTGGAACATCATCGGATGCTGAGGCCATTTTCCGCAGCGGCGATGCCAGCATGTTCTGCACCTTGTCGCGGTGCATGCGAAGGTTGGTGCCCGGTGACACCGATGGAGGTGGTCTCATTGGCGCCTTGAGCTTCACAGCAGGTGTGAGTGGTGGCGGAGGCATACGACTTGAAGCACTGTCGTTGCGGTGGCCGTGACGAAGAGGCGAGGAAGAGCCAGGGTTATAACCGTTACGAGACCGGTTCTTTGTCGGGCTGTCGTACGACGAGGCACGCAGACGAGCAATCTCTTCTTCAGCGCGGCCACGCTTAATTCTTGACCGGTCGCCGCTCTCGTGGAGCTGGCGAGCGTTCTGGTTGGAGCGGAGGGCAGAGGACTCTAGAGAGGAGATGTAACCACTATCATCCATCGAAACAGACTTCCTCTTCCGCGACCGCTGTGCCGACGAAGCCAAAAGGGCTCTTGGCACAGGCGGCGGTGTTCCGCTGTGGGCTTCAATGTGCCGGGAGATGGGAGGCGACGAGTGCAGAGCAGTAGCAGGGATGGGCGAGTACTGAGACGATTCGAGTGCCGACATGTCCACTGCATCCGCCGTGCTGATCGGTGTGTTCTTCTCCTCGGCTGATGGCAGTTGCTGTTCCTCCGGCGCGGCAGTGTCAGAAGCAATGATGGTAGCATCCGAAGACAGTTCAGGCTGTCTGGTGGAGTGCGTGTTGGCCATTGGTGCTGTAGACGACGGCTCGACCATACTCATGGGCATGGGCGGTAGTTGTGGCGGGAGAGCAGGCTCCTGGAAGCTAGAAGGCATTTGCGGGAGCGAGGGCTCCATGACAGTGGTTGACATGACCTGCAGGCTGTCGCCCATCGGCTTGCGGACGGTCTTGTCCTTCATGAACAGGTGCTCCATGCCGGACTCGATGGCCCAGTAGTTGCCCTTGCCCGGGTCGTCCTTGGGGCGCTCCTGCTTGACAAAAGCCTTGTTCAAGCTCAGGTTGTGGCGGATGCTGTTTTGCCAGCCGGCGTCCTGGGGATTGTAAAACGAGTAGGTGTCTGAGATCCATTTGTAAATTTGTGACAATGTCAGTTTCCGGCCGGCGGAACGAAGAATAGCCATGCCAATGAGCGTAGCATAGCTGTGGCCAGGTTTCAGTCCGTCGTCAATAATGGGCGGGAACGCATCGTGCGGAGGGATCGGTTCCTCGTCCAGGCGCGCCCTCTTCTGAGGCCGTCCGTCTTTGATCGGTGCTGGCTCAAG